ATAAAACAAAATCCTGACAAATAAAAGCCCTGGACATGATGGTTTTACAGGTGAATTTTACCAAACATTCAGAGAAGAACTAATACCTACCCGTCTCAAACTATTCCAAAAGATTCAAGAGGAGGGAAAACTTCCAAATTCATTTTATGAGGCCAGCATTGTCCTAATTCTAAAACCAGATAAAGACACTACAAAGAAAGAAAATTATAGGCCAGTATCCCCGATGAATGTAGATGCTACAATCCTCAACAAAATATTAGCAAACTGAATCCAGTAATACTTTATAAAGATCACAGACCATGAACAAGTGGGATTTATTCCAGGGATGCAAGGTTTGTACAATATCTGCAAATCAATAAATGTGATACACCACTCAACAAAAATAAAGGATAAAAACCACATGATCATATCAATGGATGGAGAAAAAGCATTTGATAAAATCCATCACCAATTTATGATAAAAACTCTCAGCAAAGTGAGAATACAGGGAACATACCTTAATGTAATAAAGGTCACATGTGACAAACCCACAGCTAACATCACACTCAATGGACAAAAAATAGAAGCATTCTTCTTAAGATTAGGAACAAGACATGGATGTCCACTTTCACCACTCTTATTCAACATAGTACTGGAAGTCTTAGCCAAAGCAATCAGACAAGAAGAAAAAATAAAAGGCATCCAAATTGGAAAGAAAGAAGTAAAACTGTCATTATTTGAAGATGACATGATACTGTATATAGAGAACCCTAAAGATTCCACCAAAAAACTACTAGAAATGATAAACAAATTCAGTAAAGTAGCAGGATACAAAATAAATATTCAGAAATCAGTTTCATTTTTATACACCAATGATGAACTATCAAGGGGAAATTAAGAAAACACTTCCATTCACAATTTCTTTAAATAAAATACCTAGGAATAAATTTAACCAAGGATGTAAAGGAAAATTTTAAGACACTGAAGAAAGAAATTTAAGAAGATACAAATAAATGAAAGCATATACCATGTTTATGAAGAATTAACATCATTAAAATGTCCATACTACCCAAAACAATCTATAGAGTCAAAGCAATTCCCTTCAAGATGCCAATGGTGTATTTCACAGAACTAGAAAAATATTCCAAAATTTTATATGAAACCACAAGAGACCCCAAATAGCCTCAGCAATCTTGAGAAAGAAAAAAAAAAGTTGGAGGAATCATGCTATTTGATATCAAACTAAACTACAAAGCCATAGTAATCAAAACAGCATAGTATTGGCATAAAAACAGACACATAGATCAACAGAACAGAGTAGAGAGCCGAGAAATAAACCTACACCTTTATAGTCAATAGTTGACAAAAGAGGCAAAAATGTAAAACTGGCTAAAGACAGTCTATTCAATAAATGGTATTGGCAAAGTTAGACAGATACTTTAAAAAAAATGAAACTAGACCACATTTTTACTCCATACACAACAATAAACTTAAAATGGATTAAAGACTTAAATGTTAAACATGAAACCATAACAACCCTTGAAGAAAGCACATATGCAGTAAAATCTAGAATACTCGTAGTAATATTTTTTCTGACATATCTCCTCAGGCAAGGAAAAAAAAAATAAACAAATGGGACTACATCAAACTAAAAAGGTTTTGTACAGCAAAAGAAACTATCGACACAATGAAAAGACAACCTACTAAATGGGAGAACATATTCACTGTGACATCTGACAAGGGGTTACTATCCAAAATGTATAAAGAACTTATAAAACTCAACACCAAAAAAACAAACAATTCAATTAAAAAGTGGGCAAAGGATCTGAATAGACATTTCTCCAAAGAGATGAAAAGGTGCTCAATGTCACCAGTCATGAGAGAAATGCAAATTAAAACCATAATGAAACATCACTTCATCCCTCTCAGACTGGCTATCATCAATAAATCAAAGACAACAAGTGCTGGCGAGGATGTCGGGAAAGGGAACCCCCGTGCCCTGTTGCTGGGAATGCAGACTAGTGTAGCATCTATGGGATGCAGCATGGAGTTACCTCAAAAAATTAAAAATGGGCCCCGGCCGGTTTAAAAATTGGCTCAGCGGTTAGAGCGTCAGCTTGCTGACTGGAGAGTCCGGGTTTGGTTCCTGCTAAGGGCACGTACCTCAGTTGCAGTTTGTCCCCGGCCCTGGTTGGGGTTGTGTAGGTGGCAGCCAGTCGATGTGTCTCTCTCGCTTCGATGTTTCTCTCTCTCTCCTCTTCCCTCTCTCTCTCCTGCTCTGTCTGAAGATAAATGCAAAAATGTCCTCAGATGAGGACAAAAACAAAAAATTAAAAATGGAACTGCCTTGTGACCCACCAATTCCACTTCTGGGATTTTATCCAAAGAAACTAGATGCAGTAATTTGAAAGAAAGTATGAACCCCTGTGTTCATTGTGATGTTATTTACCATAGCCAAGACTTGAAGCAGCCCAAGTATCCATCGGTAGATGAATAGATAAAACAGCTATGATATGTTTACACAATGGAATACTACTAGGCCATAAAAAAGGAAGAAAATTTTACTCTATGCGACAGCATGGGTGGACCTGGAGAGTATTATGTTAAGTGAAATAAGCCAGTCAGAGAAAGACAAGTACCATATGATTTTGCTCATATGTGGACTCTAATGAACAAAATGAACTAACAGACAAAATAGAGACAGACTCATAAACAGCAGGCAGACATCTCAGAAGGTGGAGGGTGTTGGGCAGGGTGGAGGGACTGAGCCAAACAGAGAGAAAGAACTCATGGACACAGACACCAGTGTGGGGGAGGGGTGCAAGAGTGTATGGGGGGAAATGGTGATGAGAAAATATGTCAGATATGACAACTCATTGGAACTATAGAATGAAACAAATTCCCACTTTGGACTGTTAACCTTCATCCCAGTGAACCTCTTACCCACACAAACCAGTTCGGGTCAATTGCACTAAAAAATATCCAACAAACACAACAGCTTTCATGGAGAAAGACGTAGTGGTTAAGACCACAGACAAAAGGTGACGTCTGGTGTCTGTCACTTTGTGACACCAACTGAAGCCCTCAGCGGCTAACGCTGGTGTGTGGAGACAAGAGCCCTACTTCACACTTGCAAGAGTGTTTGAGAAGAAGTACATGTACGCGTGCAGGAGACCTAGCAAGTGGTAACTGTTACTGCTGTTAATACAGAAACAGTTACACAGAATGTCACTCTCCATGTGTTTCAGCAAACAGGCTGTGTGATCCCCTAAGGCATGCGAGGTGATGCCCAAGGACACAGACCTTAGAGGAGAAGGCTGAGCTCACAATGCACTTTTCAGCAATGGCAGCTCAAGCGTGCAGATGACTGACATTCAGTGGGGAACATGACACATTGAGCTCAATGCCACGGCTGGGCCAGCAGCACCTTCTCACAGGGAGTTAGGAACCAAGACAGACGACTGATGGTTTAACACCTTTCCTGTTTTAAAATGGCCAAGACTAAAAGGTGCATATCATGTTGAAAAATGACAGTCAAGTCTCGAGTGATAAAACCCACAGGGAGGAATGGTAAATGTAACAGGAAGTGTTTCTCAATGAAACCACAGGAAAGCCACACTCCATCTTCAGATATGTCCAAACAAGCAGAGTCCCTATCACATGCAACTCACAGAGCTGAACCTGCACCAATTCATTTCCTTACATTTGTTCTGAGAAAGCTGACATGAACCATCACCTGTGACGGTGGAGTACAGGGAAGCTGTTTCGTTCCAGCACAGTTGTAAACCCTATGCACGTGTGATTAAAAGTATCAGTTTGCTTCAGTAACACGTAGAGAGAACACTGCAGAGACCTAGCTCTGGCTCCAACAAGCCCCCTGGCCCAGGTATGCCGGTCAGTGCCTCTGGACTTCACTTTACTGCTGGGAAAAGGAGAACACGGGACGAGGACAACAAGCATTGCAACCCACAGCCCTGGAGAATTTTGCGGAGGTCGTACTGTGTTTCAAAAGTTTTGACTCTGATATGCACAACCGATCGACATGGTCACTAGGCAGGGGAAGGCAGGAGGGGGGTGGGAAAGGGAAGGAGGGGTCAATGGGGACACATGGGAGACATCTGTAATACTTTCAACAACAACAAAACTTTTTAAAAATGTGGTCATTATAAAGTACAAAATAATATGGTAGAAATAGTGAAAAAAAGTTTTGAATCCGAAGGGCAAGAACTGTTCAAACTCCCCATACTTCTCTGCTCCCTCCCACCTACCCTTCCAGACGCAGTGCAGACCTGCTGGGCCCCGAATCTGCAGCACAACCTTCAGGGCCCTGGTCAACCTGCCGTCCTATGGTCAGGCCACTTGCTGCCAGTAACTCCGCAAACTGTGGCTTAGGTCCCTCTGATATTAAACTGTTACATGAGCTACATTGGAAAAGTAACGATCAGTAACCTCTAGGATTGTGAATAATCATCTATCCTGTAAATTACTTTTGTATCTTAAATTAAGATACAAGAAAAGTTGTATTATTGATGATTTTCTGAAAAACCAAAGAAACAGCGAGTGGCAGCTGTCTCCCGCTTTGCTCGCAGGTGCACGGAGTGCAGCTCTGAGCCGGGCACGGACAGGACGGCACCTGCCGCCACCTCAAAGCGCACTCACTGGCCTGTGCCTCGCGGTGGTTCTGACAGGAAAAGTCTTTTCAAGAACTTCTACACTCTGATTTCTGCAAAAAAGCATATACTGGATTTTTAAGCAATCCATGTGTTTGATTTTTAAGCACTTCATGTATTTGAAAGTATTTTATGAAATGTCTCAAGAACAGTGACAGGAAACTGATCACTGGAATAACGAGTTAGAGGAACAGTGCTCTCCAATGGAGGGTGAGGGGAGCGGCTGGGCTTCCACTGTCACCGTCTCTAAGTCCAGGCTCAAGCGCCTGCCCTGGCTTCCTGCCGCACAGACCTTGCTGAGAGTTAGGGCACTGCAACATGAGAGCACCGTGAAGGCACATACATACTAACTTTACGAGTCATCGGATGGCAGCTGTCTCCCACGTTGCCCATAGGTGTGCAGATCCTTATGCTCTTAACCCAGATGCTGACAGCGCAGCACATGCCCCCGCCACACTGGGGGTCCTTGTCGCAGGCCTGGCACGGAATAAGCAAACAGATAAGTACAGATAGCAGGAGAGACTCGGGCTAAAGAAATCCAAAGTTAGCAATTTAAAAAGGCACTTTAAATATCCAACCACTACACTGTTCATAATCACATATATAAAACACTAATCTTCATTTGCATGTACGTATTTAGCATAAAATCTAATCAAATTTTCCAGTTTTTAAAAAATGAAAATCTTACACACATTTTTTTTTAAAAAAATTCAACTCTGTTTTTCTAGTGCTTTACTGAATTTGCTTTGAACTTGAAAGAAATGAGTCTATATTAGCCTAGCCGGTGTGGCTCAGTGGTTGAGTGAGTGATTCCCGGTCAGGGCACATGCCTGGGTTGTGGGCTCCATCCCCAGTAGGGGGTGTGCAGGAGGCAGCCTATCAGTGTTCTTTCTCATTTATGTTTCTCTCTCTCTCCCCCTCTCTCCCCCTTCTTCTCTCTCTAAAATCAATAAAGAAAAAAAAAAAAAAAGAGTCTGTCTATATTAATCTTATACCATACACGGCCATTAGGAACCATGTAAGTCAAATCACAAGATTTTATGACTATTAACTGCAGAATACATTGGGCCCAACTTTAAAAAGGATTTAAATGGCCTCTAAGTCTGGCATGAGTGGCTCCAGACCCATCAGGGGACTACTGCAAATTTTAGGAGCACTCCTTTTCCTCTTCGGATATTTGCATTTGGCTCATGCGACCTGATGTTCCTCACATCACGGACTGGATTTTCACCATTTCTCTTTTAAAGAAAGAAATCTCATAGCCAGAGAATAGACAGGCCAAGACTTTCCCTCATGTTACTCTTTTTTCCCAGCGAGTAACCTGCAAAAAGAAACGTGTTGGCTCAGGACGTGGTATGTGCCACATCACAAGGTCCGCTGGACTGGCCTCGCAGACCCTCAGATAAGGAGGGGCCCTGTGGGCCGTGCTCACTCCAGGCCCCTGCTCCCAAAACAAAATCTGTAAATACACATCACTGAAGAATCGGCGGAGACAGATTCCCATACCGTAATGCATAGAAATAAATAACGAAGTCTACATCTATATGCTTGAAAATAGATCTGAAGAACTATTGTTCTTTCCTAGAATCAACAAAAAAATAGGGTGCTTTGTTTGAATGTTTGCCAACAAGAAGGTAAACACATCCTGTACTATAAAATATATCAGAAACTAAAAAGTTTATGAATTAGGCACAATTTTAAATTCATATTTATTGGAAAAAAACTAAAGCATTCCTTCAAAATTCCTAGTTTTGGGGACAGCCATACCTTCTTAAAATATAAATATATGGGCACATTCTTATACATTACTTTTCATTAAAAGTGATCTTGCTTTAGAGTTGATTTATTTCCCTCACTAAATTTTTTTTCTCAGCCTATTTAAAACAAGTATCTGGACAAAAACTACAATTTCCACCTTGGGGTGTTTGGATATTAGAGGACAATATTTGAATACTCCCATTTCCTAACTTTTCATTTGTATGTCATGCACATATGGTTGTTCCATGAATGAGATGGTCAGTACCTGATCTTGTCCAATACGGTTTTAACAAAGTGATGTGAACATATAAATCATTTAAAAAATGACTACATATATGATAAAAAACAAAACAAAAAAAAACCCCAGTAAATATTTGAGGTGGAGGATTCAGGCAGTATTTTATTCCAACAGAGTTCATGACCCTAAATTCTGAAGCCCCACCAACTCTTAAGACAACAGAAATCCAGCCAAAATTATTTTAAAATTCAATCAATCACTTGGATGTTTGACATCCTATAGACAATATAGCTAGATAAGTTACTTTAGTTTTCATCTGACCCAGATGGTTCCTGTCTTGGAGACATACTACATTTCTTTCTTGCTATATAGCTTTAGAGACTTTTAGAAGAATTCTCTTTTTGTTAACACTGAGTTAAAATGACCAAACAGCATACATAACTACTTAACAAGTCTTGACTAAATCTCTCTATAGATAAACATCCAACGTGATAAAAAAAAAAAATAATAATAATTTTGTAATAGGAAGCTTCAATTCTTGGAAATATTTACAAAGAACGGCATAGGTTTATATATTTTTAATTAGACATCTGTTTCCTAATGCCCTTCATCTCTAACCCATTGCCGGTCTATTCAAATTGTGTTGTCATGTGAATGGAACAAAAAGATACTTATATTGCAAAAGAATTTTGGGCTTAGAGGATTAGGAGAAATTTTAAATGAGCCAGCAGGAGGAGAGGGGAAAAAACAATCATGTTTCAATTCTCATGTATTAGAAAGACTTATAAAAAACTTTTTTTCAACCACACCAGCTGGCTACTGACAAAGCTATTCAAATACATTTTGTAAAAAAATCTCTAAACTATTCTAATAAATATCGCAACTCTTATAATTAAGTTCCTCCTGGATAGAACCAAATGTAGTACAAGGGCTCACAATCTGCTCTGAGCCTACTAATTAACATGGAGACAATAGAGCTTCATTTTCTCCAGACAATGCCATTTCCCTTAAATTTAAATGTTATTCCATTATCTATGTATCATTTAAAACATAGACGTTTTATTTAATTCCTGTAATGTGCACTTGGCTATTTGAAGAAACTTAATGGAAGTGTAGAATAGTTTCAGGCGGGGGAAGGGGCAGAGCCGGCAGCAGGCACGCGAGCACGTGGGTAGGCACTGTCGGTGAGCTAGACCAGGCCCCCACTCCACACTGCACATTCCCGCTCCAGACCGACGGAAGGGGCGAGTGTGGGGAGAGTGAATGAGCTCCCACTTCCAAATGAAGCGTCTTCTCTAAGTTGAAGCATTTACATGGCGACCTCCTTCATAATTATGCCGGAGCATGGAGGTGCTTTATTAAGAACTGGAAATGGAAAACTTTCATAGGGAGACCCCAAGACTCTGGGAAACAAAAAATAAAGGCCCTGGGACCGAGAAATAAGCGCCCACATAGCTTTTCAAAGCGCACACACAGCCTGGTACCAAGTTAGTTGGAGCGAGTCTCCGGAGGCCGCGTGGGGAGCCAGGTCCTCCGCTACCGGGAGAAGACCGGGATGTGGGGCAGTCGCCCTGCCCCTCGTATTCCAGGAAGGGCCCTCACATTTCAAGGTTCCGGGCTGTAGCGTCTTGAAAAAGTGCTTGTGAAGACTTTCAAAAACACCTTTCTACTGAACAGAAAAGCAGACCAACCAGGAGGACGGCCGTGGGCATCCAGGAGAAGCGGGCGGGAGAAGCGGTGGTAAAGGCGGTGCCAGGGGCACTTCGGCCACTTTTTCTCCCAGGGCGCGCCCAGTTCCCGCGCCATCCGCTGCTTTTGGAGCAGGCACTTTGCTAAGTGCGCCACGGGGCCACCGAGGCAGGTGTCCCGGCTGGGGGACACCCTCCCTGCGCCCCTCGCCTCCCGATCCCGTCCCCTTCCCAGCCCCTGGGGCGCGTTGCAGGCGCACCTCCGGCAGACAGGTGCGCCGGCTGCTTACCCCGGTGATGACGGCGGCGTCCCCGGCGTGCGGAGTGAGCAGCAGCGGCGGCAGCAGCAGCAGGAGCAGCAGCGGGGCGCAGCGAGGGTTCCTCATGGCGCCCTCGGGCCTGGCGGCAGTTGGGGGCGTTGGGGGCGCGAGGCCGAGCGCGCTCGCTGGAGCGCGGAGCTGCGAGCTGGCGGGCGGCCCCGCGAGCCTCGGAGCGGTTATAAAGGCGAGCGCGGCCGTGACTCAGCCCGCGCAGCCCGGCAGCCCGCGGGCACTCCCCGGGCACACCCCGCCCCCGCTCACACGCGAGCCCACCGGCCGGCGCCCCAGACGACACGTGCCGGCGCCCGCGCCCCGCCTCGGGCGCCACGCAGGCAGCCCCCAGAGAAGCCCCGCGCCCCGCCGCTGTCTCCGCCGAGACTCGCCGCGGCCTTTCGCACGCGCCCAGTCGCTGTTCTGGGCTGAGACTCACCCGGCTGCTGTCCTCGTTTCCAAAGCGACACGTGCTCAGCGTCCACTACTTGCAGCTCGTTTGTTCCACAGATGTTTAGGGAGCGCCTACTACGCGCCAGGCCCTGTGGATACATCGGGAGCAGGGGGACAGGGGCCTCTGAACGCGTTCATGTGTTCAGCGGGTCTGCAGAGCGCGCACCAGGTACTGCCCGAGTCTATCCTCATGGTCCAGCTACAGAAAAAGCTGACATCAGACAAATAAATGGGGAAACGTGGAAGATGCGGAAAGAACAAAGGGAGAGCAAAACCACCCTAATCCCCCGGCGCTGATGACATTCAGGGGCTTGCCCTTCCAGCTGTGGGGGTCCGATGTATTTCTTTCATTGCAAATGCTTTCCCTTTATGCTCACATCTGTTCCGACCCTCTCTCGGATTTTTCTCACGAGCATTTCCTCCCTCTTTAGATCGCGCCAGCTTCAGGCAGAGTAGTTCTGGAAACTGCCAAATGGAAATGAGAAGGCCTGGCTTCGTGCGCCAGCCCCCGAGGCCTAGCGAGGCAGCCCTGTCTTCTGTTACTTTCAGTCCAGGAAAACCCCCTCCAGTCCTAGAAGATGCCACACAGCCTTCCAGTGTGCCCTGCGTGCGTTCGGCCTGCTGGGCCCTCGGCCCCCCGCGACAGGAAGAGCGGCACGTTTGCCTTTGTCTCAGGCGAGCCTAGCTCCCAGAATCAATTTGGGGAAGCCCAACTTCCTTCCTAAGTCTCCAGAGTCGCTGGCTTTCCCTGGTCCCTCCAGGACCACAAACCGTTGAGAAGCAGATGCTCTTCCAATGTCTTTAATAAACACAGCGAGGAGAGCGGGACAACGTTGCTTTCAGACTGTGGGCTCCCTCATGCCAGAGCATTTGGACTAAATGTGGAAAGAAAGAAAAAAAGCAGGCAATTATCCGAATGTTAAACAGCTGAATATTTGGAAAACCAGATCTTTGACTGATTTTAAAAACCCTTTCACCCCGTTTTCATGTTTCAGAATGTGCACAAACAAACAAAAGAATCAAACTTTAAAAATGTTGTTAGAATTGGACTCGGTAAAGTCAGTGGAAACAGTAGCGGGTGAGGATTGGTGGAAAGTTTCCTTTTCCAGTCTCCCCGCCAGCGCCTGCAGGGAGTGCTGCAGGGTGAATGTAAAAACCAGTCAATATGGGTTTTACTATTCCTACAACTTTTTAAAAAATACTATTTCATATTTGCTATGCTTGAATGGCAGCTGGGGTAGTCCCTGCTTCTCCAAGCATAGAAAACAGGATATGTCTACATAGGAAAAGTAGGTTTCAAAAGTGGATGGCTTCCTACAGGGCTGCTTGGAAAATAATCCTCATGAGGTTGTTTTGCAACAAGGTTGGAAACACTTAAAAATAGGGCTGGTTTGGTTTCATGTTCCTTTGATCATGCTGTTTCTTTTAATTGGTTTAATACTCTAGAGGAGAAATAAAGGCCCTGATATAACAATCTTTGCATCCATGGCCAAGTTATAAAACTGAAGTCTGAAAGTTAGTTCCACTTTATAAAGGGAAAGATGAAAGGCTGAATTCGAATTTGTTCATAAAAATAAGTGAGATAGGAAGGCCAACCTACCAACACTGAAATAGAAATTGGAGTGGCTTCCTGTCCGGTTCTGTGTCTTACTGCATCCGCCTGTTGATCTGGCCACAGGATCAACTCAGCCCAGGGAGGACCATGTAAAGAGAGCCCACATCTCGTGGTTCAGAGTGGAGACTTGCATTCTGCAGCAGCCCGTCAAGGTCCAGCTGAATTGAAGGCAGCTCAGGAAAGTCCACAGGATCCTGCATTTATGGATCGTACTGACCTGGCCAGGAATACTGAGTGACCATTGGGCAAGTTACTTAACCTTTTTAAGCCTCTACTAATCATCTATAAAATGGAATGAAATACCAACCTCATGGGTTACAACCTCCACGGGGTTGAAAGAGTGTAGTACCTGGGAAGTGGTCAGTACGGTGTCTGGGACAGACTGGGAGCCCTTTAGTGTGACCTCTAATCAAGTCTTGTTATTTGGTGTCCTTACAGCTTCAGCCAGCGCTGATACAGTTATGTTCGTCTCCCCGCCAGATCAGATGGTATCTCTGTAAGTTCCCTGTGTCTGAATTCTCACACGTCGCTCTCGGCACACAGCACAGTAACAGGTGTGTTGGCAGGCCTCTGTCAATGACTGACGACCAGCAGGAATCTATCTTTGGAGGACAGTCCAGGGACAGGTCATAAGCAAATAATACACAGTGTAGACACATTTAATTTGCATGAACTGATTATATGTAGTCAGGGATTGGGGTCGAGGGGGTTAATGGGAGAAAAAAGGGAAGACATCTGTAATATTTCCAACAATAAAAATAAATGTTTAGCCCTGGCCGGTTTGGCTCAGCAGTTAGTGTTGGCCCACAAACAGAAGGGTCAAGGGTTTGATTCCCTGTCAAGAGCACGTACCTGGATGGCAGGTTCCAACCCCAGCCCTGGTCTCTCTCACATCAATGTTTCTCTCTCTCTCTTTCCCTCCCTTCTATTCTCTCTAAAAAAATCAATTGAAAAATATCCTCGGGTGATGATTTTAAAAATGAATAAATAAATAAAGTTGTTTACAAAGCTAAAGGGATAGACTCTTTACCTCATGCAGGTGATTCTGCTGCCAGTCTACTCAATGGACAGGTGACTGAGAGGAGGTGAGCTGGGACACAAAGCTGTCTTTGTCCACTGCAGTGAGACACTGTGGGACCCTGGCTGGTAAAGGATCCATCTCAACATGGGCTTCGTGATTGCCAGTGTAAGGTTGTGCAGTGGGTTACATTGTATCCCCTCGAAAAGCTAGTTTTAAGTTCCAACTCCAAGTACTGTACCTGTGAATGTGACCTTATTGGTAGTAGGGTCTTTGACGACGTAAGTAATTGAAGACGAGGTCATACCAGACTAGGGGGGCCCTCAATCTAATGACTGGCATCACTGAAGGGGAGGGAGAGGGAGGCTGGACAAGGAACACGAAGGAGACTGCACACAGGGGCACATGTGCAGGTGGAGGCAGAGACGGCGAAGGTGTCCACACGCAGGCCACACCGCAGCTGGAAGAGGCAAGGACGGCCCCCCCCCCCCCTCCCAGAGCCTCTGGAGCGTAGCCTGGTGACACCTGGACCTCAGACTTCAGCCTCTAGAACCAAGTGAGAAGATGTGTCTTGTTTTAAACCAAGATCTGGTCATTTGTTATGGCAGCCATGCTGCTACCACAAGTGGGTGGAGCCGGGGGGCTGCCTGCAGTGATGCAGTCCCTTCTGCTCGGTTTCAGTGGCTGAACGAGTCACGTGGCCAGTCTGTCTTCAAGGGGATGGACGATGCAAGTCTGCAGTGTGCTCTGATTTCTGAGGAGAACCGGAAATGTAGCAAATAGTGCCATGTGTTAGAGCAAAGGGATAAACTCCTTAATCATGGCTTAGACTCCTTAATGAGTGTAATAAAATTTTTATTATATGAATAATTATTATAAATGATAGTGAAGTATTTCCTTTGTGTGTGTGTGTGTTTTAGTTTAGTACCCCTTATACTAGAATTATACAAAGACTCTGGAAGAGCATGTAAGCTGATATTCCCTTTTAGGTGGGTAGTAAACCAACATTCATTCATTCATTTCACTAAGTAGTTACTATGACCAGATGTGTGACAGGCACTGGGGGTACCATGGCGAGCAGATGGCCTTGAAGCCAGTCCCGTGAAAGTAGACATGAATCACATAATCATGCAATTACAGCGTTAGGGGCTCCTGCTTTAGGTGACTCGGAGGAGGAGTGAGGAGTCTCTCTAAAGCCCTCCGGTCGAATTCGTACCACCAAGGATGTTAAGGCGGTACGCTCTCGTCTCAGTCCACCTGCTTCCCCACAGACCCTGGCCTGCGCACTGTGTCACGTGTACTTCCGCTCCAGTTGCCTGCACACAGCAGTGGCTCACACGTGTGCTGCATGTCGTGGGGTTGGAGGAGGAACGGCAAGGCACGTGTGTCTGGCCGTAATCATGAATTGGAAGGCCGGACCCTTTTCTCAACCTTATAAATGCAGAGACCTTTCGCTGTTCTTGTATATAAAATTCTAGTTTTAAAAGTGACCCCGCTTGCTTGGGACTTACTTTTTTGTGTACCTTCAAATGACTTCTGATTATTACTGCATAATAGGTGGGCCTGGTAATTTTATACCTGGGTCCCATTTGTCTTTGTGTAAATAATGTTCATTTAGATGGATTAAAACAATTAAAATAGATATTCATCGATTTCTTTACCTTTAGTCTTTTATCACTGTACTATTACACGGTGGCTTTTCTTGTTAACAATCCCATAATATGTGTCTAAAATGCATTTTTAAAAAATAACCATGCTTTAAATGTGACATATGAAAAATGGAATTGCTTTTGTAATTATAACTAAGACTTCTATTTTAATCGATTCAATGCTGATTTCTCTTTATTTTAAAAAATAATTTATCATGCTTCAGTTTGAAAGCCAATTACTTATAAAGGCACTAAAATTATTTGATATATTCAAATGATAATGTGCAATATACCTATTTTTAATAGTTGAAATATTAATCCAGGCAAAAAAGCTTTGTTA